TCCCTCTCCTCCTGCTGCTGCGCACGTCCCTGGCGGACACCCCTGATCCGCCGCGCCGCTCGCAGCACGCGCCGCGTTCTGGCGCGCTGCGAGGCACGGGGACGTCGGGCCCGCGCCGGCGCCCGGCTCTCTCGGGGGTGGGAGGGAGGACGAGAGAAGCAGTGAGGACGAGGACGAGGTGGGGAAGCAGTGAGGACGAGGACGAGGTGGGGGAAACAGTGAGGACGAGGACGAGGACGAGGTGGAGAAGCAGCGAGGACGAGGACGAGGTGGGGAAGCAGTGAGGACGAGGACGAGGTGGGGGAAACAGTGAGGACGAGGACGAGGACGAGGTGGGGAAGCAGCGAGGACGAGGACGAGGTGGGGAAGCAGTGAGGACGAGGACGAGGTGGGGGAAACAGTGAGGACGAGGACGAGGACGAGGTGGGGAAGCAGTGAGGACGAGGACGAGGTGGGGGAAACAGTGAGGACGAGGACGAGGACGAGGTGGGGAAGCAGTGAGGACGAGGGCGAGGTGGGGGAAACAGTGAGGACGAGGACGAGGACGAGGTGGGGAAACAGTGAGGACGAGGGCGAGGTGGGGGAAACAGTGAGGACGAGGACGAGGACGAGGTGGGGAAACAGTGAGGACGAGGGCGAGGTGGGGGTAAGGGCTGTAGCCCTCTGCGCGCCTTCTCCGGGCTCGCTTCCAGCAGGTCGTCGGCGTCGAGCTGCAGTTGTTGCCGTTGGCCTGGCCGCCGCAGCTCGCGTTGGCGTGTCGGTGGCGGTCCGGCGGAAGGCCCGGTCCGCAGTCTGTGAGCTCCAGGCAGGCCGCTCGCGCCCCTTGTGCTGCTCGTCGGGAGCGCCGGGCGGTGTCTCCCAGAGGGCCGGGAGCCGAAGTGTCGTTGTGCCCGGCTTCAGGCTGGTCGGCCGCGCTGCCAAGAGGGTGGCGATGATTACGGGCGACCCGCATAGGAAGGATGGGCACCCTTCCCAAGGGTACCCTTGCATCCTTGCCTCCTCGGTCCATCCTTCGCCGCTGTCGTTGGCCGCGCCCCGCTCGAGAAGCTTCGACATGGGCGTCCCAGGCCCTTGCAATCTTGACGTGCATCCTTACTACATGGGTTGACTGTTAGGGGGGGTGGATAGCATGGCGGGGGCCATGATATCTCCCCAGATTTCATGGCGCCTCTTCTTATTTCAATGCGTCCCTGGCCCCCCCCCTGGGCCACGCACATGCCGCCGGCCATGATTTGCGCCCCCCTCTTAGACGCCCCCCTCTTGGCCGCCCCCGAGCCGTCATCATGAGGTGTCACAAGAAGATCGCGAATTAGTTCTTGTAGGGCCGTGGTCAGGCCTCCCATGCGGCGGTGCGCAATGGCGACGCGCTATCGGTACTCGTCGTAGGAGATGCGGCCCGCCTCGTAGACGGCCTCCATGGTACGAATCCGCAGCTGGAGTTCTATGTCCCATTTGTCGGGGTATGTGGCAGCGATCCCTCTGACTGTCGCGGCCTCCACACGGATCGCGCGGCATACGCTTTTCTGGTCGTCGTCCTAGCTCAGCTGGTTGCCCTCGCAGCTGAGGTGGCCCTCGGAGCTCTACTCTTGGCCCTCTCAGCTCTGCCGGTGGCCCTCGTAGTTCAGCGGGTGGAAGAAGTAGCTCAGCTTCCCTCGTAGTTCAGATGGTGGCCCTGGTAGATCAGCAGATGGTCCTTGTAGCCTTAGTGGTAGCTCTCGTCGCCCAGCGGTTGGCCCTGGTGGCTCAGCTGGTGGCCGAAGTAGCTCTCGTAGCTCGGCGGTTTGCCCTCGTGGCTCAGCGTTTTGACCCAAGTAGCTCAGCTCGTGGCCCTCCAGCTGGTGGCCCTGGTAGCTCAGCTGGTGGTCCTCGTGGCCCTGCTTCTGGTTCTCGTAGCTGAGCTTGTGGCCCTCGCAGCACAGCTTGTGGCCCTATTCGCTCAGCTGGTGGTCCCCGCAGCTGAGCAGATGGTCCTGGTAGCTCTGGTGGTGGTTCTCGTAGCTGGGCGGGTGACACTCGTAGCTCAGCTGGTGTACCTCGAAGCGCTGCTGGTGGCCCTCGAAGCTCTGCTGTTGGCCCTCCTCGAGCAGCGGGTGGTCCTCGTAGTTCTGCTGGCCCCGGTGGCTCAGCAGGGGGCCCTCGAATCTCCGCCTGGTGTCCGTGTATCTCAGCTCGTGGTCCTCGTAGCTCGGCAGGTGGCCCTCGTGGCTCTTCTGGTGGCTCTCGCAGGTCTGCCGGTGGCCGAGGGTAGATCGTTCAAGCGAAAAGATGCTTGAGCGAAAACGCAACCAGCGAAAACTACGTAGATAGACACAGAGAGACACAGAGAGACACATATAGACACATATAGACACAGAGAGACACAGACAGCGGTTCCCGCCATCCCGGCGGTCGCCGCTCGCGGGGGCGGGGGCTCGGGGCGCCCGACAGAGCCGGGAACCGGTATTTCGGCGTTATCCAGGCGGATGGCGGGAACGAGTGGAAATCCCAGTCTGGAACGAGTCTGGAACGAGTGGAAATCCCGGTCCCCGCCAGTTGCTGGGCCCATGGGCGTGGACATCTTGTGCTGCTTGGGCTGCGCAGGAATCACGGCTCCTGCTAGTCGCGGGGCGAGGGAGTAGCCGAGCCGCGGCTCCCGTGCCCAACGCGGCGTGATCGAGAAGGAGGAGAAGGCGAATGAGGAGGAGGAGGAGGAGGAGGAGGAGGAGGAGGAGGAGAAGGAGGAGGAGGAGGAGGAGGAGGAGGAGGAGGAGGAGGAGGAGGAGGAGGAAGGAGGAGGATGAGGAGAGGAGGAGGAGGATAAGGAGGCTGAGGCGGATGCGGAGGCGGAGGCGGAGAGGGAGAGGAGGGAGGAGGAGGAGAGGAGGAGGAGGAGGAAGGCGGAAGGAGAGGGAAGTAGGAGGAGGAGGCGGAGGCGGAGCGGAGGAGCGGAAGGCGGAGGCGGTAGGGAGGAAGGCGGAGGAGGAGGAGGATGGGAGGATAGGAGGAGGAGGAGGGGGAGGTGGAGGGAGGAGGAGGTAGGAGGAGGAGGAGGAGGAGGAGGAGGAGGAGGAGGAGGGTAGGAGGAAGAAGGGAGGAGGAGGAGGAGGAGGAGGAGGAGGAGGAAAGGGAGGACTAGGGGGATATCAGAAAAGAGGGGGTCAGGATGCGGATCAGTGAGGGATCCACAGCGCTTCATCCCTTCATCCCTTTTCGCGCGCACGCGCCGAAACGATTTCGCTCGAACAGCCGCTGATTTCGCGCGAACTGTTTTCGCGCGAACGGCGCACTCTCCCGTGGCCCTGGTAGCTCTGCGGGGGGCCTGCGTGGCTCGGCTGGTGGCCCTCGAGGCGCCGGAGCGGGAGATTCTCGAGTGGCGGTCCGGGGGCCGCTGCGTGGCACGATTGACCTCCGAGGTGCGCGGTGCAGCGTCGACGAGAGACAGAAGCAGAGAGCGAGAGAGAGAGAGAGAGAGAGAGAAGGAGAGAGAACGCGAGAGAGAGAGGAGAGAGATCGCGCGAGAGAGAGAGAGAGAGAGACAGGGAGAGCGAGAGAGAGAGAGAGAGAGAGCAAAAAAGACAGGGAGAAAGAAAGAGAAAAGGAGGGCGGGGAGGGATGGAGGGAGGGAGGGAGGAACGGCGACAGAGGCAGCGACCGATAACGCCAACCAACAGTCTGGAAGGCCGCCCCCCATGCCGCCGTGGCGGCGCCCTTTTCCCAACCATCCTGTGGTATTGGGTCCTCGTTTTGAAGAGACAGCGCCCCGCGTTCCATGTTCTTCTCCTTCTCCTTCACCTCCTCCCCCCCTCCCCCTCCCCACGCAGTACAGCTCTGCGCGGCCCTATAGGGAACTCCACCGACGGCCCCAGTGGCTGTGGTCACATGCGTTCGCGCCACCCAGTACAGCGTTCCGTGGCCCGACAGAGAACTCCACCGACGGCCCCAGTGGCTGTGATCACATGCGCCCGCGCCTCCAGTCCAACGTCTCGTGGCGCTATAGGAAGCTCTATCGAAGGCCCCAGTGGTTGTGACCACATGCGTCCGCGCCACCCAGTACAAAGTTTCGTGGCCCCACAGGGGTCTCCAGTGAAGGCCCCAGTGAGGGAGCTCCGCCGAATGCCCTGGTGACTGTGATCACATGCGTCCGCGCTACACAGTATAGCGTTTCGTGGCCCCATCTGGAGCTCCATCGAAGGCCCCAGTGGCTGTGATCACATGCGCCTGCGCCACCTGGTGCAGCGATTCGTGGCCCCATAGGGGTCTCCAGCGAAGGCCCCAGTGAGGGAGCTCCACCGAAAGCCCTAATGGCTGTGATCACAAGCGCCCGTGCCACCCAGTGCAGCGTTTCGTGGCCCCATCTGGAGCTCCATCAAAGGCCCCGGTGGCTGTGATCACATGCGTCCGCGCCACCCAGTACAGCGTTACGTGGACCCATCTGGAGCCTAACCGAAGGCCCCAGTGGTTGAGATCCCATGCGTCCGCGCCACCCAGTAGTGTCTGTGATCACATGCGTCCGTGCCAGTCAGTACAGCGTTACGTTGCCCCATAGGGAGCTGCACCAAAGGCCCCAGTGGCGACGTTCGCATGGCGGCCCCGCTTCATTTCGGTACACCCCTCACGCGTTTCCTGGCCCCAGAGGGAGCTCCACCGAAGGCCCCAGTGGCGACGTTCGTATGCGCCCCCCCGCTCACACCCCTCACGCGTTTCGTGGCCCCATAGGGAGCTCTATCGAAGGCTCCAGTGGCGACGTTCGCATGGCGTCCCACCCGCTCATTTCGGTGCACCCCTCACACGTTTCGTGGCCGCTCGCATTTGCAGCGCTCGCATGGTGACACGCCCCATGTCGGCGCACGCCTTTACACGCTTCGTGGCCCCATAAGGAGATCCACCGAAGGCGATGCCCACAACGGCGATACTCACAACTGCATGTGGTTGGGCCCTTCGCAAGGAAAATTTTCGGGGGGGAGCAAAACAGACCCTGGCGGAACTATCAACAGGACCACTCGATGCACAACAACTTCGCTCGGTACACACGGGAAGTTAACAATGCATGAGGCGCGGAACACGAGGGCGGGGACAGAGGAAGCAGGAGGAACAATATTTTGAGAAACGATTAATGGCTCCAGCGCAGCGCGCGGAAATTCAGTCAGGGGGCGGCGCGACTGCGCAGCGAGTCCACGATTCCCTGGCCAGCTCAGGGGGGCGAGTCGCCAAGCGGACGCAGCCGCGGGGACGAGTCACCATGCGGACGCAGCCACCAGGGCCTTGGGCGGAGCTTCTCCCTATGGGGCCACGAAACGTGTGAATGGTGCACCAGAATGGGCCCAAGTCGCTATGCGGACGCAGCCAAGGGGGCCTTCGGTGGAGCTCCCTATTATGGGGATCAAGAAACGTGTAAGGTGTGCGCCGACATGGGGCGAGTCACCATGTGGACGCAGCCACTGGGACCTTCGGTGGAGCTTCCAATGAAGCTCACGAGCCGTATGAGGGGTGCGCCAGAATGGACCCGAGTCACCATGCGGACGCAGCCACTGAAGCTATCGGTGCAACTCCCGCTGGGACCACGAAGCGTCTGAGGGGTGCGCCGAAATGGACCCGAGTCATCATGCGGACGTAGCCGCTGGGGCCTTCGGCGGAGCTCCCGGTGGAGCCAGCGACAATGCGCCGAAAGGGGGCGAGCCACCGTACGGACGCAGCCACGGGTGTTCCGTGGAGCTTCCGTGGAGCTCTCTGTGGGGCCACGAAACGTGTGAGAGGTGCGCCGAAATGGGGCGAGTCATTGTGCGGACGCAGCCAGTGTGG